TTTAATATATAAGATTGAAAATGTCCTTATAGAACGAAACTGCAGTACCGTTAGTTACAAATGAAAATGGTAAAAAACAGAAAGTTTTAATTCTCTTTTCTTCGATATGCCTATTATTGAAAATGAAGAAGCATTCCATGGATTTCCCTCGGATACTTTTACCACCAACTAGGTGTTCTATGCATGTACATACCTCATAGAATTTCACTACTTCATTGTACTCAAAATAAACAATATTTTTCATCTAATATATGGTATATAAACATAATATAAAAACATTACAATCTGCACTGATAGCAGACAAGCCCTATTAGCCTTGAACAGGCAACTTGTTACCTCAGGGCTAATAGTAGAGTGCCACCAAGATTTAGCCAAAGCCTCGGTAGGTAATAACATTATCCCGAGGTGGATTAATAGTCCAGTCATTTTAGGGGGTTTGCCTAGGAAAGTGGATATACCCAGCTGTAAATTTGTATAAAACTTTATATTTTGGCGTCATAAAAGTATTCTTAAAATTCACATATGATTCGACGGACGCAACTTCAAAAGTTGGGGGTTAAAAGTAAAAAAAACGACTTTTTGCACAATATCTCGTTTCCAATGGGTTTTATGCTAATTGTATTTATTATCAATATTGTAGAGAATTAAATTCTCTACAACTTTTGTTTCATACATTTTTTCATACGTTGAATAGTTTTTGAGATAGAAAGCAGCGCGAGCGCAGATTAAATATTATTTGAAATCAGCTCATTTAAGGTTTATAAATTATTACTCAATAAACAATTATAAATATAAAAATCTCATTTGATACATTTGTGAATGTCAAAATTAAAAAAACAGATAAAATAATTGAAAGAATAATGAGTTTTAATTTCAATTTTCTTCCTCTTCATGGTCGAGTAAAATTTCTTGTTCAAGAGATAGTGTACGCCCAATTAAAATCACAAGTAAATCAATATCTTCACCGACTATAATTGCTGTTCTTTGACGTTCAGACTCTTCAGTGGCTGTCTCAAAGAAGTAACTGTGTACATAGATGTGTAGATAATTCAAAGAAGTAACTTTCAGACACAAATCTGGAAGAAAAAGCCCTCCTGAAACAGCTACTATCATATAAGCATTGAATTACACGAAAGAAAAATTCTTTTGAAACAAATACTTTTATATGAACACTGAATTATACAGAAAACAATTTTCTCTGCTCAGTTTGTATTCCAAACATTCGTTGTGAAACTGAATCAGATATCATTCACAGGATTTCTACACAATATACTGAATGTAAGGTAAAAATTTCACTTACGTGGAACACCGTCATCCTCACTGGTAGAGATCGATGTTTCGCCGTAAGACACTTGTCCGATATCTGAATGGCATCTGGATCAGTTCCCTCATGAATGTTTGGAATACAAACTGAGTAGAGAAAACTGTTTTCTATATGATTCAGTGTTCATAGAAAAGTATTTGTTTCGAAAGAGTGTTTCTTTCGTGTACTTCAATTTTTATATGAAAGTAGCTGTTTCAGTAGGGCTTTTTCTTCCAGTATGATCTACACATATATGTTTAGAGTCAATTTTTTGAAATTGATTGCTTCCTTTCTCTTTTTTTGGAAGATTTTCAGATTTTTTTGTATCAAAATGGAGTAGTAGAAAGCCAAAAATGTTCTTTCCCAAAAATTAATCACTCCTAAAAATATAACCCTTCCAATTTGAAAATTGATACTGATTCTGATCTTGAAGTTGACGAAAAAAAAAAGAATAACTGAAATTATTTATCTCATTGAGAATGAGTGACCTAATTCGATTTTAGTGGAAAAAAGTTTACGACGGGGGGCTATAGTCGAAGAATGACCTCTGAGATTCAAGCCTATGTGGCGACAGATTATTTTTCAGGCAGAGTTGCCTTTATTCCACACATCATTGTAAAGGTATGTAATAATACTGGAATGGAAATACAAAGGACACTTTTTGATTTTTAACAGAAGCAGAATATTTTTTTAACAAACTCTTTTGTTGTTTTACAAAATATTCGCTTCAAGATTGTTCACTGCATTGCTGCTTTTTGGAATTATGCCACAACGAGGTTCATCATTGACAGTTGTAAAAAGTATTTTCAGATATAGTGCATTACTAAAGTTGAACAAAGGGATTCTTTACATTTTTGTGGTCTCTGGCTCTTAGAACCTCAAGAAATCTTATGAGTGAATGCCATTTTGTTACAAACGTATTTTTTTCAACTATATTGTCAGTTGCCGCTGATTCTTAAAGTAATGAAAAGCTATATTTACGAAAATGGAGATGCTACAATACCGTGGCGCCATCTGAAGGTCGTTTGCAAAAACATAAAATGCATCTCTCGTTTTTTTGAGATAAAATTAGTGTATTTTATTAGAACTGTTTATAATAGGGTTAATTGGTTACTTTTCAATGTGTAACTGAATATATAAACTATAAGGAAGAAAAGAAGTGTAATAAATCATTGCCTACGGATCTAAATTATGGACAAGATCCAAAGAGCTCATATTTTTCAGATATACCATCCGAATACCTTGCATTTCCTGATGCACTCGAATGCTTAATTCATGAATAAAATTACATAAATCCATGTAGACAGCGTATAACTAGATTGAATTTCGTTGATATTATAATTAGACTCGAATATTTATCAAACACTTCTCGGGTCAACCGTAAAGTTCGGAGAACTTCGACTTATTGTTTGTTTAAAAAAATCTGACGTTCAACATTTTTTACGGTCCGATGATACGTCTATGAACAAAAATTTGAAATATTTATCTTGGATGTCAATGTACTTCAATACCTGTCGTGGTATTAGCCAGGGTTTTTTTTTTATTTATGCAGGCCATCCTAATGTAACGATAATTATCTTCGATGATACCCGAAAAATGCGAAAGGTTGGCTCTCTACGACCTTCACCATCAATAATCAATACTGCATATCATGTCAATACTGCAATCACTGCATATTTTTATACATTTTTCGTAAAGGATTGTTATAACGAACAAAGAAAAATACATAATGTTAGTTGAAGAAAACACATTAAAAAGTACATGAATGAAGAAGAAGAATGGAAAATAGTGAAATCAAACATTTCACAATCTGTGCAATTTTTAACTTCGTATAAATGTAACATTGTCAACCCTCAGGTAATTACAGTCATTTCATAGAAGCAAAGCAATTAAATATTTAGAAGGAACTGTATTGAATACAAATCGAATTTCATGGAAGTAATACACTGTCAGGAGAAAACAAATGTTCTAATATGTAGAGCTGTTGAATAAGGTTATTGATAGATCAAAGGTCATCTGTAAAAATGGCATGATCTGAACGTGATTTTTCACAGGTTCAGTGCTTATTGGTCGACGGATTTCAGCCTTCGGCCGTTTTCACACAGACAAATAATGTCAGCTCACATTTTCACTTTTCCTTGTGCTATAATCTCATTTCAATCCTGTCAAAAGCTGTTTTGTTCGCATCAGTCTTACTCTAGAGCTGTCATTTCTGCCAATAGTTGTGCTCTATCTCTCTCTGCTCAATCAAAATATGACGAGCAGAGACAGCGAACAACTGTTTGGCGGTAATGACATTACTGGCAACAAAACGCACCATTATTAATGATACATGAGTTCTCGATTGACGTTTGGTCACAGAATACCTTGCAGAAGTGCCACTCATTCGAAAGCATCTTGATGTTGAGGATTCAAGTTTCTGTGTGAGGTATATTCTGTGTTAGAGGTGCATAATGTCATTTTTAGCTCAAGTTATTTGAAACTCATTATTGCAATCGGGAATTATCACGATGTCATCTCGGCAGGTTGTTGTGTCAAAATTTTAACGAAGCTAGATTATTTTACCATGTTCACGTTTCCTAACAACTCCACGATACGTTTATCTCTAAGATCATCTCGTGTTCTGTGCTGAGTGTCACTTCTGTCAGATGTTCTGTGGTTTGGTATCAACAGCAGTTGACATAAAACTGACAGCAATTTGTAAAACAGTGTTTGTGTCTAACAGCTTTCGGCGGTTGAATGTGGTAGCAGTAATTGCTGAATACAGGTGATGGATAAAATTAAAGAGGTTTTTTTCACTGAATAATTACGCAGTGTTATCCGACAGGAGCCAGATTTTGTCTGAATAAATCACTTGGCAATAAAATTTTAACTCTGGAAGGAATATATTAAAACAATGTTTGATTACTGTAACTGTTTATATAAAGATTTAGTATTTTGGTCATGTAACATTTATATCTAGTACACGTAAAGTTGATAATGCACTTCTGTGAAATGTTATTTGTGTTATTATAATACTATTAGATACAATGACAACTACCAATGCGTTTATTGTACGCGGCAATTTTCAAAGTTTTTTAATCACGTTTTCAGTAATTACACGTCCTCTTCTCAATATTATATGTCATGAAATACCTGAAACATGTACGACCATTTTTACGTGAATATGGTCGAATGTTGGAAAGTCTTCAGTAATGAACATTTATAAAGTACGGCTCGTCTATAAAATGGCTGGAGGTGACTTTGATCGAAAAACTGAATTTTGCCAGTAGACGAAAATGATAATAATACTAAAATATTTATTGCGAACTCTGTCTTTCTCTGTAGTTTTCAGTGCAAGGCAATTTTTTGAAATCAGGTCCTAAAAATAACGCATTTGTAATCCGTTCCGTAGATTTAGTGTTCTGCCGTTCACAAAGATGGCCTCTTCATGAAGGGAGACGTCACCGCTTTCACTTACCCGGACTTATCCTAAGGATAACTAGTGAAAGTGGTTCAGCCTAGCAACACTGATGAAACCTATGACGTGTCGAAACAGCGCTCTCTAGTGTTGGATCATAAATGCTTTGTTTCTTGAGCTTTGGTTTCAACCATCCAGTTAGTAACGAATATTACTTTATGAACACAATGTAAAATAAAACACCCGTATGTGCGAATTATGCAACACCTCATACTGAATCTACTTCTTCTTTTTCAGAATGAAAAAACCCCCATAAAATCCCAGTCTAGTCCGTACTCCCTGTCGCCGCTGAGCACGAGCAGCCAGCGCCTCCTCCGATCGCCCCACAAAGCCACCCGGAAGATCTCCCGCATACCCTTCAAAGTCCTTGATGCCCCCGAGCTCCAGGACGACTTCTACCTCAACCTCGTCGACTGGTCCGTCCAGAACGTGCTCAGCGTCGGTCTCGGTAGCTGCGTCTATCTCTGGTCGGCGTGCACCAGCCAGGTCACCAGGTTATGCGATCTCTCGAGCGACGGCAACGTCGTCACGTCGGTGGCGTGGAGCGAGCGAGGTCATCTGGTGGCCGTCGGCACACACAACGGCTACGTCACTGTCTGGGACGTCGCCGTCAACAAGCAGGTGAACAAACTCCAGGGACACACCGCTAGGGTGGGAGCCCTCGCATGGAATGGGGACGTACTGAGCTCAGGAAGCAGGGATAGACTGATTCTGCAGAGGGATACGAGGACGCCACGTAAGTAGAATTTATTAGTGTCAGCCTCGAAGGATCAGGGTGCTTCAGAATTTTATTTTTCCATAGTGCAGACTTTGAACTAGGAATTTTGACTTTAAATTTGAAATTTCGAGTTTAGACTTGGAATTCCAACCTTGAACTTCCGGAATTTCGGATTTGAACTTGGCATTTCGGGTTTTAACTGGAAATTCCAAGTTTGAAGTCTTGAAATTCCGAGATTGAAAAGTTTAACGAGTTTGGGCTTTGACAATTTCAAGTTGAAAGTCAGAACTCGAAATTCCTACTTAAATTCGAAATTCCGAGTGGGATTAAATCAAATAAGCGAATGAATGTCATTATGTACTGTCATCGATGACATGAGTAGATTCAACTCCTTTCTGACAGAAAGTCGTAATTTTATGAATGAATTGAGGCTTCATCTTGGTGCTGAAGGGGCACTAAAGCAAGTGTCCCATTCCGAAACATCGACTGTCCGCCATTGAGGATGACAGTATTCCAAGTAAGTGAAATGTTGCATCTTTCATTTACTGTATTGTGTAACAATCCTGTGAAAAGTGTTTTGTATGATTAATTGAATGTTCTTAAGTGTTCATATAGAAGTATGTATGAATTGATTGATTTCTACGTTGTTTTCAGAAATAAAGAATATCCATGACAGTTTTTCTTCTGAAATCCTCCATTACGCACATGTTCCACAATTTCTCGAACAATATTTTTATAAAACTTCCTGTCGTCCTATTTATAATTTCCTTCACTATATGCCCAAGGTAATGATTGTTATTAGTTGCATATTTCAAACGGACAATTGATGCATTCCAATGCAAAAAGTAATCGCTAATTTCCTTTGCAGTGTGTGATTTATTTTTTTAGATTCATCATGATTATGATTCATCAAAAGGTGCGTGGTATGTAGGTAGTTGTTGCTTCTCTAATGATGCGATTGTTGAATTACGTAATTATTTCTGAACAAGGTAATGTCAACCTGGAAAATTTCTTGGAAAATCGTAAAACGTGCGATTCATGAATTAGAACGAGTTTCATTCCACGTCGCTGTATACAGGGTGTATCTTAAATGATGTCATTATTTTCAGGTGGTGATTACTTGTCATCTATATCTGTAGAGTAGGGAGGGCGAGTGTAGGCCCACAACACTTAGACCACATGTGACCCATTGTACATCCTCCCGAGGAGTTGTCCTTCTAGGTCATCGTCCATCCTGTCCTTTCCAGGAAGGTGGACAGGTCTCTGGGAGACATCTACTTTATATCGGCAGGTGTAGGCCAAGACTCGCCGAACACAATACTCTCTTATTGACGATAACTCCGGGCACTCCTAACAGTCTCATCTTCCTGTTCACACATCCTCCATAGAGGTGTGTCAACTAGCCCCATATTATGAAGGTGTTTCTTTAGTTGACAGCGGCCAGTCAGAAATCCTACTATTAGGCGTAGATTTTTCCTGGTCATCGCCGGATATTTCTTCGGCGCCAGCTTCCCAGGGTCGCCCAAGGTGATCCTGGCAAGATTACATCCATTGATTTCATCCCATCTCTTTGAGGATTGAGCATGGGTGTAACATTTGACTAGTTCCGCAATTGTCGAAGTCATCAGGCCGTGGGTGCCACTGGGTCCTAAAATTCTTAGTCCAGCCGCTTTCTTGGCTAAAGAGTCGGCAATGCGATTATCTTTACTCCTGTCGTGCCCTTTAACCCACCTCAGGATAATGTTATTATCTACCGAGGCTTTGGCTAAATCTTGATGACACTGTAGTACCAGCCCTGAGGTTATACGTTGTCTGTGCAAGGCTAATAGGGCTTGTCTGCTCTCAGTGCAGATTGTTATGTTTTGTCAGAAATTCCTTTCTTGGTTATTTCTTTTGTGGTGATTGAGATATCAGCCAGTTCTGTATGGACCACGCTGGTATTTCTTCCCATTTTCTACTTAATTATTAGGCTTAGTGATCTAGAGTACACTCCACACCCTGAGCCTTCTTTGGTTTTTGAGCCATCTGTATAAATCCGTATTGCATTTGTATCATCTGACTTTATGTTCTACTTAATTTTTATTTTGTAGGGTTTATTAAACACAAACCTTGGTTCAATTGAATCGCTTGTTGCCTGCAGCAGATGTTGCGCAGTGAGCGCTTCCCGCCATAGGCCCAGCCTCAATTGACCCATTCCTACTTCGAGGTTTACACCAGCCGTGCGCAAGCGTACCATGGCCATTAACACAACATCCTTAACATACAGATCCAGAGGGGTCAGACCCGTGATTAATTCCATTGCCGCGGTTGGTGTTGTTCTCATGGCTCCTGTGATGTTTAAACAAGCCAGTCGCTTGTTTGATATAATTTTTGGATGGCCGTTGCTTGTAGAACTTTCGGTCCCCATGCAATGGCTCCATATGTTAACATAGGTCTTATTAGTGCAGTGTAGATCCAGGTGACCATACGGGGTGAAAGACCCCATGCGCGTCCCACTGTCCTCTGACATTGCTCATAAGCCACTTATGCTCTTTTTGCTGTACTCTGTAGATGAGAGTTCCATGTTAGCTTCCTGTCGAGGATGGTACCAATGTATTTTACCTCTTCAGAGAAGTTTAGTTTGCTTTTGAAGATTTAGAGAGGTTTTAAGCCCGTTAAACTTCTCTTCCTGGTGAAAAGGACCATCTCAGTCTTCTTGGGACTGATCGACAGTGAATGTTCCTTACACCATGTTTCTATTAATTTGAGCCCATCCTGCGCTCTATCGCACAGTGTGTTTACAAATTTGCCGGTCTGCAAAATAACTATGTCATCTGCGTTTGCAATTGTGTAGAATCCATTTTTGTTGAGGTGATTAATCAGGGTATCCAGAACTATGTTCCAGAGGAGGGGTGATAAGACCCTTCCCTGTGGACATCCCCTCATTACTTGTCATATTTTATGAATAAAAAGTTCACATGAACGCGTGTTCAAACTTGCTTCGTTTCCGAGTAATGGGGTGTCAAAGTTTCACTAAAAATATGATTCTTTTATTAATAACTTATTAATCTTTTCGCCAATTTTAATGGACTCTAGATGATAATAATAATGTTTATTCACTTAATCGTAGTTTACGCTGGTCAGGCCCTATCCCCCGAAGCCCCGATACATTCCGGAGGGCGCGCCAGCATTATCAACCAACGACCATTCTCCACACTGTGGAGTAAGTGATCATTGGGTCCGAGAATCATGTGCCTTAAGCAAGCGCAGTGAGCCAAGAATGACAGCCTTCTGCATCTGTCCGGCTAAGATTTCTGCCTTAGTGCGGCAAGCCGGTATGATTTTAAGATTCGTGAGTAGAGAGGGCATCATTCCACCAAGGACTCCAATAATCAGAAAAACCATCTTGACAGAGTGATCTGGATAGAGTCTGCAGAGTTCGATGAGAAAATCTCGATATTTTATTCGTGTTTCCTCCTCTTTTTGGACGATATTCGTCTCGCCAGGAGCTGAAAACTCCACGACAAATTTCGTTTTACTCTGGCGGTCGAGAAGGACTACATCAGGCTCATTAGCTTGTATAATTAATTCTCAAGTATGAAAAAAGGGGAAATAAACAACGGCATCACAAAAGGAGCATCGCCGAAGGGGTGTTCCTTGTACGTGATATAGCCATATCAGTAAATGATAAAAAATAAAAAAAATATTTTTATTAATCTACTAGCTTATACTCTGATTTTATGTACTTGACTGTTTTTTTTTCTCAAAAAAGCAATGTTAACCAAAGCTTTGTCAATAAGAGTTTCTTTTTGGATAATAAAGCATATTTATTATTATTATATTATTATTATGGAACTAGGTGTGTTCGTTAGCATGAAATTAGATTACGGATAATAATTCCAGTAGCGTCAAAGAGGGTTACCCGATTGATATGTATGGTAAAAATCATTGTACGCCACTGTTTTTCTCCAAGTTTGATATTTTCATCAAATTAAACAATTAATTTGAAAACCGTGGTTGAAGCTTATGAAGCTTTTATGTAAATGCACTGAATTGAAAAGGTAACTCCTTTAATTGTTTCATCTAGGTTATTCTGTGACATATTTAAAATCTTTCCGAACAAGATTACCTACGAGGGTAGTGTGAAAAGTTTCCGACATTAACATAAAGCTAGCAGCACCCTTAAATAAAAGCTAATGAATTTCGTTGTTCATCCGTTGACAGTTACTCACCAAAGTTTCAGCCATTTTGGACGCGCCGTTGTTATGTAACAGTCGTTTGAGTAAGTTGATGTGAGTGTTGTTATGGAAGTGGTCAAAATCGACGATCGAGTTTTCATTGAATATTTGTTTCTGAAAGGCAATACGCCTACCAAATCAAGGATGAGTTGGATTCTGTGTATGGGGACTCGGCGCCATCATTTACCGCAGTGAAATTTTGGGCAGCTGAATTCAAACGTGACCGTAGGAGCTTGGGAGACGATGAACGTTCGGGACGTCTAAAAACTGCAACTACTGACGAAAACATCGCCAAAGTACACGAAATGGTGCTAGAGGACCGCCGAATTAAACTGAAAAAGATAGCAGAAGTTATGAACATGTCAAAAGAACGTGTTTCTCACATATTAAATCAATATTTAGGCATAAGAAATCTGTCCGCGCGTTAGGTGCCGCGTTTGCTCACTTAGACCAAAAACGACTTATTGGAAAAAAACAAGAATCCAATATATTGCTTAGCACACTTGTCTCGTCATTCCATTTGGATTTCCGGACATCGGTTACGGAGGCACATCTTCACCGGTAGCAGGAGGTTGCATATCTTAATGAGGATCCAGAAGTTATTTCGGATTGAGGTGAAAGTAACCAGGTTCAATTCAATGCCACAAAAATCCAGGCATCGGTTTTCTCCAAGAAGATAAATGTATCCGAACCGTATATAATAATGTCAGATTAGACAATTCCGCTTTCTGCTTCGATAAGTTTGTTGGGGGGTTAAAATGGACACCGATATATCTTGGCACAATCATGTCGCTGGAATTG